TTATTATTCCATGTAGGCCTCCATAATCCCCATGCAACTAGCACTGTCAAAAGTGCTCTGGGACAGTGTTGCATAGGGGAACATCTGGCACAAGAGTAGGTGCTGGAAAACAACAATGACAGACCATCTCACACTAGTAACAATGGCCAAGTTAACAGGACAGCAAGTTGGAAAGGATGTGGAAAGATTAGCACTCTCGTGTGGCAGAGTATGGGTAGGGGGGAATCACCAGGACAGCCAAATTAAGTGGGCAGATGAGGGGATGAAGGAATAGCAAGATTTTTGCACCAGGAAAATGTGCAGTTAGGGGCCTCTCCAAATTATGGAGGAGTAATGATGTCAGTTTGAGGACTAAGGTGCATCTGATTCAGGCCATAGTCTTTCTGATTACTAGCTATGCATCTGAGAGCTGGACAATGAGTAAGGATGACAGAAAAAAAAATTGACGCCTTCGAACTGTGATGATGGAGAAGAACACTGAATAACCCATGGATGGGCAAGAGAATGAACAGATACATCTTGGAGTGTTCTTTGGGGATTAGAATGATGAAGCGTCGCTTCACATACTTTGGACATATTGCTAGAAGGTACTATTCCTCGGAGAGGGCCATGATATTGGGAAGGGTGGAGGGTCAGCAAAGGAGAAGAAGACCCTCAACCAGGTGGATTGACAAGGTGACCGCTGCAAAGGGCTCTTGTGTGTCAGGAAGTGTGAGGATGGTGTAGGATAGAGCAGGGTTCGGATCTTTTGTCTAGGCACCTAACAATAACAACAGCAACAACATGGGGACTTGAAAAGCATAATAATTGGCATAAATCATTAGTAATTAATTATATTATAATTAATTATATTAAATGTACTGTATATAAATGATTGTATGAAACACCATTTAAAGGAAAGATTGTATAAGATATACATGAATGAAACACAAAGTAAACAAATTATTACATGAAAATGAATTAAAAGTAATTTAAATGCTTGCACAGATGGGGAGAGAGAGAAAACTTAGGGTGAGGAAACTGGGGGTCTCCGTCGCAGCGGTGCCCCCTCTTGGCCCCAGGCCCCCAAGGACCTGCCCTGGGTGGGAACTGTGTCCACAGCTGGCGAGGTGCCTCCAGAGGTCCTGGTTTCTACTCCACCATCAAGCCCCCCAGAGAGAAGCAGGAAATCTCCAATAATTTAAAACGGTGACCAGGGATCCCCAGACTCACTCATCACAGGCACTCAGAGCTCCAGTTCTCATCCCATTCCCCACTCCAGAATCTGCATTTCTGCGGGACATGCAGGTGCTGCAGGTGGGGGCCTCCCTGGGAGCGCCTGGTCCCTGGTCGTGGGGGAGGCGCGTTGGGACAGGAAGCCCCCATTCCCAGGCGGACCACCTTTCTCCGTCTCTCTGCACCTCTCCTGAGGTCCTGGTTTCTACTCCACCTTCAAGTCCCCCAGAGAGAAGCAGGAACCTCCAACAATTTAAAACGGTGACGAGGGATCCCCAGACTCTCTCCCCCTCTATCTGTCTCCCTGCCGGCACCCCTGCCTCCTTTCAGAGCCCATGGGGCACTGAGAGCAGGTAAAGACAGACAGCCCAGGGAGGACGTCCCGACCCAGCCCTTGTGCTTCACCCCCCAGCAGGCTGCGACAGCCCCTGTCCCCTGTTCGGCCAGTCCCTCCCGCCTACCTAGGGCCAACATGTAGCCCTCGAAGTTGTCGCTGGTCAGCAGGTTCCAGGTGCCACTCAAGTCAGCGGGCATGATGAGTCCGGGGGCGACGCGGCGGGTGACACCGGAGACTGGCTCTAAATGCGCGCCCAAGGGCGAGCTGTGGGTGTAGGTGTGGGTGGGCCGGGGCGGGGACTACGGCCCCAGAGGAGTGCGGGCCCTGGACACCTCCCCGCCCCTCTCCTGCCAATGACAAGGAGTTCTGCCCACAGCCCAGCGACGACTCCTCGGTTTCCCTAGAGATTTCCTGTTCTAATTCCACAGATGAAGGTACCCCGAGGTGTGTTCGCCCACACGCTTCCACTCAGCCCACTGGTGAGTGACCAGGTGGTATCATCCAAGGGGGGCATAACCACGTGTCAGAAATGCATTGACTCTCCTGGAGTTTATATCCAGTGGAAGAGAAGAACTCAGAGAACAAATAAAAAGGGACATACATGGGGGGTAGGGGGGGGGCTCCACGGATCAGTTCGCCCGGAGGCGGAGGTGCAGTAACTGTTGTTAGGCAGGTCCTCCTGCGGCTCTGACTCAGAGCAGCCCTGAAAACGACCTTAGCCCTCATTGGGCTCCACCCTCAACCTCTGCCTTGCTCAAGCCCATTGTTCCAGCGACCGTGTCAGTTCCTCTCCTTGAAGGTCATCCTGTCTTTCACTGACTTTTCCTCATCTTTTCACTGAACTTTCTCAGGATAATGTATTTTTCCAAGGACTTGCTCCTCCTGAAAATAGGCCCCAAAAGTGTGAGACCAAGTTTCCGCACCCTCGCCTCTGAAGATCACCCTGGTTGTTTGTTCTCTTGGTAGCACACAGAACGTGCAATAATAGACTTTATCAACAGGTATCAATTCTTCTTCAGTCTTCCTTCACTGACCAATGTTACGATGTATAGGAGGTAACTAAAAATACCATGGTTTGCATCAGACTTACCTCCCCCCCACACACACACACACCTAGTTTTTACATTGTTATCCTTGCTCTTCAGTATTGTGGAGAGGTCCTCAGCAGCAGATTTCCCCCACACAACACATCTTTTGAATTTTTTGACTGTTGCCTCCATAGAGGTAGATTGTGAATCTAAATAAAAGGAAATCACTGATAGCTTCAATTTTTTTCCCTCCATCTATTCATCTCACATACTTTGGGCATGTAGCCAGGAGGGACCAGATCTTAGAGAAGGACATCATGCTTGGAAGAGTGGAGGGACAGTGTAGGAGAGGAAGACCCCTGATGAGATAGATTGACAAAGTAACTGGGGCAATGGTTGATGTGTTGGAATCAGGGAGAGTGGCTCAGGACAGGGTAGGGTTCAGAGCCGCTGTCCATAGAGTCGCTATGGGTCACAGGAGACTTAACAGCACATAACAACAATTATTATGTTACCTAATAGCCTAGTATTGAGGATTTTTGTTGTTTGTTTTTTTTAATGGCAGAATTAATATTTTATTGTCATTTATACTCAGATGGCAATCAGGCATATAAACTTCATACATGATCGTTTTTGTAAAAAAAATGTTTTGAACAGCTGACATAGCTGGTTGTTTTCAGCAAATATGATTAGCTCAGTTCATTAATGGTGGCTTCAAGGTTTTCCTTGTTGTTGTTAGGTGCTGTGGAGTGGAGTTCGACTCAGAGTGACCCTATGAACAAAAGATCTGACTCCTGTTCTATTCTGCACCATATTCACACTTCCTGACACATAAGAGCCCATTGCAGCAGTCACCGTGGCAATCCACTGGTTGAGGGTCTTTCTCTCCTTAGCTGACCTTCCACCCTTCCCAGCATCATTTCCTTCTCTAAGGAATAGTCCCTCCTAATAACATGCATGTATGTGAGTTCAAGCCTTGTCATTCTTGCCTCCAAAGAGCACTCTGGCTGCACTATCTCCAAGACATACCTGTTTGTTTTCTTGGTCATCCATGGGATGTTCAGTGCTCTTCTCCAACACCAGAGCTCAGAGGCATCAATTCTTTTTCTGTCATCCTTATTCATTGTCCAGTTCTCAGATACATAGCTAGTAATTGGAAAGACTATGGCCTGAATCAGATTCACTTTAGTCCTCAAACTGACATAATTACTCTTCAGTAATTTGGCGAGGTCCCTAAATGCAGATTTTCCCTGTTTCTTCTTATTTCCTGACTGCTGGTATCAAGGGCATTAATTGTGGATCCAAGCAAGATGAATTTGTTGACAGTTTCAAATCTCCTCTCCATCCTTCATGACACTGCCTAATGGTCCAGTGGTAAGAATCTTTGTTTTCATGACATTGAGATGCAATCCATACCAAAAGCAGTATTCCTTGATCCAACACATCCAAAATATGTGAGACTGAGCTTCAAATACTCAGCTATAAGGAGCAACTTGGTTGCATCTTCTCTAGGACAGACCTGTTTATTTTCTTTGCAGTCCATGGAATGTACAATACTCTTCTCCAGCACCACAATAAAAGGCATCAACCCTTCTTCTATCATTCTTAGTCATTGCCCAGCTCTTTGATGCATAGCAAGTAATTGCTAAGACCATGCTTCGATCAGGCACACCTTAGTCTTCAGACTGACATCATTGCTCTTTAGCATTCTGGAGAGGTCCTTGACAGCTTGGTTCCACAGTCAACAGTCTTGGCACTAGCGGTCTGGAAGTAAAAAGACAAGTTGCATTGGGAAAATCTGCTGCCGAATCACATTAGCAAAGTCCAAAGGTTTGGAAAGAATATAATCAGGACAACTTCCAAATGTGCTTGCAGGCGCCTCAGCCTTGAGCCTTGTGGCTTTAGGACAGTGTCACAAAGCAGTCCTGCCAGGTATGCCTCTCCATCTCCCACTATACACACACACACACACACACACACACACGCACACACACCCCTTCTATAAACTTGGGCAAAAGGCTCTTACCTCTGGTTCAGTGATGTAGCAGTCCTGAGGTGCACTCTGTCACACCCCTTCTATAAACTTGGGCAAAAGGCTCTTACCTCTGGTTCAGTGATGTAGCAGTCCTGAGGTGCACTCTGTCTCATGTCGGGTCTCTGTTCTCTGCTGGGACTGCTATGGCTGCTGCTCCCATAGGTCCTAGTCTAGTCGCACAAGAATCTTTGGTCCTAGTTATCCTTCTGTTTTTACAATAATCATGGGTCACAGAATTCAGTGAGTGGAGGGAGTGAGGTGAAGCAATTAGGAAAAATCCAGTGGGGATCTCAAAAGATGGAGTAGCAGTGGCCTGGTTCAATGGTGCTTAATTTGATGAAACATAATCCCAGAATAGCAGGTACATTACAAAGACGACTGGGGGTGGAGGTCATTGTGCAACAGTGAACAAACTTTTTTAAAGTGAACTGGAGGAGAGGGAAGGAAGGGAGAAGGGGTAAAATGTGCAATAATAAATTAATAAAAATCTAACAATTCTGTAAATTTTCATTAAAATCACAATTAAAATAAAAAAATTCATTAAAAACACAATGTAAAAAAACAATGTGTGGGAATGATCATAGGAAATACAATGTGATTTTTTTTTAATTCTTTTTTTTTTTCCATTTTCTTGTGTACCACTGAATCAGATCTAACTGGCACAGGAGGTAATTGCTTCTTCTTCTTCTTCAGCAGAGCATCTGGTGGATTTGAACTGTGCACCTTAGGGATTGCAGTGCAGCTTCTTTGCCACTAGTGAATTTTTTTAAAAGTGCATTGTTGTTGTTGTTTGATGCCATTGAGTCGTAGACGACTCATAGAGACCCTATGAACGAATGGCCTGAGCACTGTTCGTACATAGAGTTTCCGGAGGCAAGCCATTTCGGAAGTGGATGCCGCTCCTGCTTCCAGGCTTGATTTAGTCGGGAAGCTCCAGCCAACACTGTCCACCATGGGTACCTGTTACCACGATTGGCACATCACTGTCACAGTCTTCAGTATCACAGCAACCACGAGTTACCTCTGTTCAGCAACGCACAGACCAGTGCTATACCACCTTCGGCTTGGCAGCATAAAGAGCATATGAATAATAATAATAATAATAATAAAGTATAGCATGTTAAAGGGCAGGGGAAGGATCTCTGGTCCTGAAAGGTGTGTTACGTTTTCTTGCTTCTTTTTTGCTGGTGGTGAGGTTTCTTCTCTTCTGCTGCTAGATCCACTTGATGATGAGACTAATCAATCCCCTTGTGAATATGCTAACACACCCTATTGGAGTGTTCCAGCCTACCCACAGTGCAAAGTCAAAGTGAAGTAGCTAGGAAAGCTACTTTCAACAATAAACCCTTAAAACCACACATTCCTAAAAAAGGGAAAGCTCTAAGCAACCTGTCTGAACTTAAAAAAAAAAAATTATACTAGTTTATTTACAAAATTCGAATACACTGTTTTTCAGACCACATTCTTCTAATTTCCCTCACTCCCCCATCAAATTGTACAACTTCATAATTAATACCCTCCTCCCCCTCCAGTACATCCTCATCCCTCTGCTTCTACCCTCTCCCGCCCTTGTGTCTTCATTTTCATTCTACAATAATGGTTTTGTATAATATTTGTCCTTGTGGGACTCAGCTAATTCCTCAACATGATGTTTTCCAGTCCCTCCGAAATTATGTAGTAATTTACAAAATCATTGCTCCTGCATGCTGCATTGTATTCCGTTGTGTGAATGTACCATAATTTATCAATCCATTCTATTGTGATTGGGCATCTGAACTGTTTCCATGTTCTTGTGATGGTGAGTAATGCTGCTATGAGCATTGGTGTACAAGTCTCTGTTTGTGCCTCAGTTCGTATTTTCTTAAGGTATATTCCAAGCAGTAGAATAGCTGGGTCATATGGAATTTCTATGTTCAGCATTTTTAAGAAGAGCCAAGCTGCCATCCAGAATGGTTGCACAATTTTACAATTAATACAAACATTTTACATTTTACAAACAATAATAAGCGCTCCTATCTCGCCACATCCTATCCAATATTTATTACTTGCTGCCCTGTTAAACTTTGCCATTGTTACTGGTATCTCATTGTGATTTTGATTTGCATCTCCCTTATTATCGGTGATTTTGAGCATT